AGGGATGGAAAAGGGCTGCCGGTCTATCCCCCGGTGACGGTAACAGCAAAGCCCCTAAAAATCGGAGTCCCCGGGGTGTCCCCATCACTCGCTGCCTGGGGTACCGGGAAATGCACGCTGGGGCGAATCCGAGAGAAGCCAGGGATGGAAAAGGGCTGCCGGTCTATCCCCCGGTGACGGTAACAGCAAAGCCCCTAAAAATCGGAGTCCCCGGGGTGTCCCCATCACTCGCTGCCTGGGGTACCGGGAAATGCACGCTGGGGCGAATCCGAGAGAAGCCAGACGCACCACCGGGATCGCGAAGACAGAGGAAAACGGCAGCGTCTCAGCAGCTGGGCTTTAATAATGAACTCTGCGAACGGCCACGGGACCGCCATTTGCGCGGGCGCCGATTCACACCACAGCATCTACACGCGAGCGAGGAGCGGGAGATGCCGCGCAGCCCTCCGCCGTACCTTCCCAACCTCCGCCGGATGAAACGATCGCTCCGACGCATGAAAACGGCTGCGCGGAGGCTGCCGAGGTGCCGGGGTCGGCCGCCTTCCGCTCTCGTGATTTACCTTCTCCACCAAGAGTTTGAAGGCTCCGAGTCCAAGCTGAGATTTTTTTTTGTTGCTGTTCGAGCCCTTTACCGTGAGCCGAGGGGATCTGGGGCGCAGCTTTTGCCAACCAAATGCCGGGTGCGAGTGCCTCGCCCGGTGCCTTCCCTGACCAAGTTGGTTTGCAGGCAGAAAAACCTCAAGTTCTTACAGCCCCCTGCCAGCTTCGTTATCCAGCGGAGCCAAACTCCCTCTTGGTAAAGCTCCAGGGAATTCGGCTCAGTTTTGGGCTGCATGCACCCACCTTTTCACAGCAGCTCAGCCTCTCCCCTGCCCGTATCACCCCAGAGCCCACAGAAAGCCAGGAGACACCGAACAGAAAGCGCCGGAGAAGTCCCGGAGCCGGGCCGGACTAAGAAGCCTTTGCTACCGCGCAGACGTACCTGGAAGTGGGTGAAGCCTGAGCTGTTTGCGCAGGGAGCTGCTGGAGCTCAGCAAAAACACCCACGGGTTTTTAAAAGCAGGCGGGGTCGCTCCCTCCCTCCGTATCGCCCTCCCAGGGACGGACCGAGGACCATCCCACCCCTGGATCCGAATAATCCTCAGCTCTGAGCAAGTCCGTCAGTCTGCGGCTAAGTAAAACGCTCTTTAGAGCCGGGTCAAGCCCGCTGCCTGGCATTAGTGGGGTTATTCCGTGTTGCAGAAACCAAGAAAAATGGGAAAATTTAGCAAGGTGGCAGTGCCAGCTCAGAGGGAAAAGCAGGTGGGAACAACCGACGCAGAGAGTCACGGCATCGAGCTGTCCCCTCCCCGATTTACCCTGTTATGGCAAAAAAAACCCCAAAACAAAACACAAAAAGGGACATCTGAGAAGCAAACTGCAGCAGAAGCTCAGCGGGGTGAACCCGTGCTGCGCCGGGCAGAGGGAGGGAGGCGGACGCGCCGGTCCCAGCTTTTTCACAGCGGCAGGGAAGAGCTCGAGCTGCCCGAGTGCCCTTTCTGTTCTTGGACGCGGAGAAATCCACGCGGAAAGGGCTGGGAGCAACCCCAAGGCTCGGCGCGACTCGCTGCAGTCGCTTTTTTTTCCCCCCACCGGGACAGCGGGGAAGGTGCAGGCAAGCAAATATTCTCCTACGGGGAAATATCCTGCCGTGGTCTCACCTCAAACCCACGAGCAGCCGGCAGAGCGGGAGCGGCCAAGACCCCACGGACTTACCCCGAGTCCACCTCCGAACGCCCGGCTGGGTACGGCTCATCCGCGGCCAAAGTCCTTTCAACTCACCCTCTCTCTGCCTGCGCTCAGATTTCTTAAAAGGAAGATAAAACGTCAAAACAGGCGCTGGCTGCGCCGGACTCACCCCCACGCCGCAGTTTAAACCCCTCCCAGTCTTGGGGAAGCACCCAGTCACCCAAAAGCAGCCTTGTCCAGCCCCAAATATTTCCCTGTTGGATAAGAGACCCCCCCTAAAGAGGGAAGGGAAACATTAAGCCCATAAAACGGCCGGCCAGGACCTAGAATCGATGGGGAGAAGAACCAAATTTCGGTCCGTTGAGTATCGCACTCCTCGCCGTCGACGCAGGGAGCGGAGGCAGCTGGAGCAGATCCCCGCGGGCTCCCGCCGCCGCGAACCCCCTCCACCTTCCTCCCACCTCCGCGGCCCCTTTATTAAAGCAGCCAGGCGTGACACGAACGCGCAGCCACACGCAACGGGAGCGAGACAGTCAGCTTTAGTCGTGTCCCAGCCCCAGAATGAACCGCCTGGGGTCCCCAAATATCTGCCTACGCCGGCTTTGAGCCCGGAGGCAGGCTCTGAGAACGCCTAAGGCTTCAGTTTGAGCCAGGGATGAAGGATGGTGAGGATGGAGAGGATGGAAGAGGTGAGGCCGCACAGCCCCACGAAGCCCGGGTTGGTTTTGTACAGCCCCAGCTTGTCCAAGGGGATAAAAAGGTCGCAGGCGTTTTTCACCACGTCCAGCAGCAGAGGAGGGTTGTTCCGAAGGACGTGGATCAACAGCCGGAGCTGGATCTGCAGCCTCAGCCCCAGCTGCTGAAGCCCGTTGTCGGCCCGGAGCTGGCGCCCGTTCTCGCCGCCTTTGGCTCGCTTCCCGCCCGCCTCGCGTTCCATCAGGATCCGGATCTCGTAGGCGTCCCGGCTCAGGTTAACGACGAGGGCGAAGAGGTAATACCTGAAAAACAGGGCAGAGGAGTGGCGGGGGGAGAGCGGGGAGAGCCAGCAAACAGCACCGGGGACCGCAGCCTGCGTCGCTGGGAGCCTCCGGCCGTCCGTTTTCCCCCTCCAGCCGCAACGATAAAATGCCTGCGGGAAGGAAGAGTCCACGTTCTACCGACGGCTGAGGGGCTGAGGCGGGCGCGCCAGCTCCCGCAACGCTGCACTCTGCACCGGTGCGGCGTGAGGAGAGGAAAAGCCCCGCACGCAGCGCTCGGGGAGGGGACTGGTGTTAGGGTGACGGTTGGACTGATGATCTTAGAGCTCCTTTCCAACCTTAATGATTCCCA